AAAGTACACAAGGACATATATACAAAGTATGTTCAATAGGGGATTAGTGGAAAGTTGAAAATAAGCATAAATGAATAAAGGAGTAATTAAATTATGGTACATTGATATAAATGAGACAATAAAAGGAATTGTCCAAGACATATTGCTGAGTTAAAAAAAAAGCAAATTGCAAAATAATATCATCCTATATTTAAGTTAAAAATGATATATTTGGATGTGTTTGTATGTGCCATTAAAAAGACTGAAAGAGAAAGAAAGACTGGAAAAATAAATAGTGAGTTGTTAACGGTTGTTAATCGTAGGGAGTGGAATGGGAGGGTAGTGGGAGTAAGGGTAGTGAGTGTAGGAAGAGAGAGTAATTTTAAATTTTCCATTTATAGAGTTTTGTATTGTTTAAGCTTTAACAGTGAGCATTATTTTCTTTATAATTTTGAACCTGTGTTTTAAGCAAATTCCAAAATAGAGTTCATATTATATATGTATATGTACATGTATATAAAGTATATATATATATATATATTCATGTTATATATGCAAGTAAAATTCCTAAAATCCCACTGATCTCTGTTGATCTATGTCATTTTTTCCAAAGATTAGACAACAAAGTGGTATGTGCATCTACACATGGAACAATTCCGTTCTCTCATTTATGGAGAAAGCAGACGCATTCTAAAGCAAACAAGCGTGCCACTGCAGCAAAAACACATTTGGCCAGTGTGTCAGCCACAGGCTAGGGCTGGGCTGGGCAGGGCATACGTTTTCTCAGCAATTCCCTGAAATGATCTGAAAAAGGAGACTGCCAACTTAGAAACCAGTTTTATTTTCACTTTTGCTACATAAAAACGCATGGGCCTCCCAGATCTCTTCAGCTGCCTGCTATTGTTGCCCCGATCACATGTTGTGTTTACAAATCACTGGGCACTTTTCCACTTTCCACCACAGCAAACTGTTCTCAAACACAAAGAAACCAGAAGTTCTGGGGTTTTGAGTTATTTTTAATTTCCTTTTTTCCAGTATAGTAATTTTAACATTATGTTTTCAACTCGGAACATGGATCGGTGGTTAAGAGTAGGATGTCTGAAGTGCAAGTCTGTGACCAGTGAAAATATGAAGCTATTGAGGCAAATTCAGAAGAGCAATGAGTCACGGGGACTGTGACAGATGTGTTGTTGGCTTGGACGTCCACCATGTGACCATAACAGCTACAAGAGCCAGAGCTCTGCGCAAGCCACATCTAGTGAACTAGTAGTGAGCAGCCCCCTCTAAAACACCATAAAGTGAGCTGAGGTGGGTTTTATTTTAGTGTAGATACAGATGAGCATACAAAATAATGGTATAAACCATCTCTACTACAGTGACATTGAAAAAGTAAAGTATGCAATTTCAAAGAAAAAAAATCACAAAATAATTTGACAACGTAAAATTGAGAAGACTCAATTAAGGGCAATAAAATGAAAAACTAAATCAAAGCAAATGAAAATTTTTCCTGGGCTGGGTGTGGTGGTTCATGCCTGTAATCCCATCACTTTGGGAGGCTGAGGCAGGAAGATACATGAGCCCGGGAGTTCAACATCACCCTGGGCAACATAGCAAAACCTTGTCTCTAAAAAAAAAAAAAAAAAAAAAAAAATTAGCCATACATAGTGGCACTCACCTGTAGTCCAACTACTTGGGAGGCTGAGGTGGGAGAATCATTTGAGCCTGGGAGATATGGCAGATAGAGGCTGCAGGGAGCCAACATCATACCACTTTACTCCAGCCCAGGTGGCAGGGTGAGACCCTGTCTCAGAAAAAAAAGAAGAAGAAAAGAAAAGTTCTCCTAAAGGTTTGAGTCTATTTCAGAAACATTTCAGAAGTTGGAGCCTGAATAGAAAAAGTGAAGTGGGTGAGGAGCTACACAATAGTTAGGACCACATCTCTATTCGCATCAAAATAAACCACTGAACTGGAAAAAGTGCCTTCAGTGAGCTGCACTGCTGACCAGTGTGCTTTAGTGGGTTACAAAGACAGACTTACGAACTGAGGAGAGATCATGGTTATGAAAACACACATATTAATGATTTGGCCCTTCTACCATCTTTGTTCACCATAACTCTAGTGTCTATGAAGTCATGTCAACTTATAAAGTGGTTGTTGGTAAAACAACAGGTGAAGATATTTTCACAAGATGCGTAAATCTGAAAAGATCAGCATCAACTGGGAAGAAGTGGCGCAGGCTCCCAGACCAGGTAAGCCAAATCTCTGAAGGGAAAAATGGCAGAAAATGTGAACCACCATTTGCACACAGTAATATTCCTGGAACCTGCCACACACATGAAGCATACCTCACGGTGAAAGATCTGCTCTTGAGTTCTAAGTGGTAAACTTTCAATTTAAATTTAGTATAGAAAACTTAGCAGTTTGAACACTTGTCACTTAGGGCCAGTTTTTAACAATATGAGGAGTTGTTCTGAAAGCTTGCTCTACCACACAGATGTGTGCTATCTTAATAAGACGATGCTGCTCTAGGTTTTCAAACTTAAGACTGATGTGGAGGAAAATATCTTTTTTTTCCACCAACACAGTATTCCACAGAACATAGAGGAAAATATCAACAGTGCTATGACTAAGAACAGAGACTCATTAAGGTGAATAAAGTCATTTTTCACCAAAATGTCATGAGTGGCTCACAGAGATGTTTTGTTTAGAATATTTTTGTCAAGGCTCAATACTCTTAATCAACAACTGCAAGGCAAAGTGAGAAATGATTTTACTGCCATGATTGCTGCCATAAAAATGCTGTTAGGGAGCTGGATGAAGAGAGTTGATCAGGGGAACTAAGTATACATAATTGAAGCTCTTGGTTCATTTGCATGTGTCAGTTATCTTCCATAAGCTGATGTTTCCACAACTGTTAGAATTTTTTTGCAACTGCATTTTATCCATTAACCAATGGAGAACATATAAATTGTTTTGTCTTTCCTGATGGTAATAATTTAAGGGTTTCTTTATACTTTTGATACAACCCCATTCATTGTTGATGCTTTCCTTCTTTCTGATATGAATCATCTGAGGCATTTCCTGCCTTAGACCTGGAATCCACTGTTATATCAGTGAGTCTTTTTCCTCAAGACTGAGTCTTGGTCTGTTGGCCGGCTGGAGTGCAGCAGCATGATCATAGCTCACTGCAGCATCGACCTCCCAGGCTTAAGCAATCCTCCAGCCTCAACCTCCTGAGTAGCTGGGACTACAGGTACACGCCACCACACCAGGCTATTTTTTGTGGTTTTGTAGAGACAGGGTCTCACTATGTTTCCCAGGCTGGTCTTGAACCCCCAGGCTCAAGCAATCCACCTGCCTCAGCCTCCCAAAGTGCTGCGATTACAGGCCAAAGTGTGCCTGGCCTGCTTTGCTTCTTGACCTACGGATCACTATCTGCTGAGTATTGCCAGAGGATTTCTCCTACCAACCCTATAATATTTTAGGGTCTTCAATGTAGCTCATATATGACTATGTCACTGCTCTGATTTGCTTTTTTTAATTGCAACTTAAAAAATTCTCTTTAGAAGATTCTTTTCAGAGCTCATAATCGTGGCACTTGAGAGTGATGCTCAGTGATACTGGTTTAATCATTGTTTCTGAACCTTTTTGGAGGACAGAGCTAGGAAATTCTTTTTAAGATAAAATAAATTCTGAGCCCTTATTGGTACTTCCTATCCAAATTTAGAACTAGACAGGTTAACCTCACTTTTTCTTTCTTTTGCCCATGTATCTCCTTTCTCCCTTGCCCAAACTCATGGTTCCGAAAAGCACCAATACTGTATAACTACTTATCTGTTTTATCCTACTATGGCACATGCAAAAGTTTTAAATTTGCAATACTAATAATGCAAACAATAATATAACCAATGAAAATAGTGTAGGCTCTTTTTTAGTTCCTTTTGTGTATAGGGTATATTCTACTAGGGACATAGAGTCAAATTACCACGTTTTGGGAATAGCTGGCAATGGCTCATCTCTGTGTGGTTATGCCACCAACTCAAAACTCCTAATTCCTAAATAAGAACAACGTGAGCCGTGAAATAACAAAGCATTAAATACATTAAAGTATATGAGATCATAAAGATACAAAATAATTCATTGGTCAACTTTGGAGGATGCTAGGAACCAACTCATTATTTTGAAAATTGGTAATCAAGCATTTATCTTGCCTTATCTATTCAAACTATACTTCGGAGTAGCCAAATAGTTAATATGAGGAAGTTTCTTTTTACAGAAGTATTCCAGCTCATAAATGTGGAGAGAACAATAAAATTGGAAAATCAGCATTTTGCAGCCTCTAATGAAATAACAGATCTAGTATATGAGTAATGGCTTCAGCAATACAAAGAGGAAGAGACACCCATTACACTGGAACTACAAAGCACCTCTTATAATTAATGATCCCCAAAATCTGAACCTGAATCTGAACAAGGCTTTAGATCTAACTACCAAATTACAGAAAATACTGGGGACGAAAGAGCATGTCAACCACCATCACTGGTGTGCAAGCAGCAAAACCCAGAGTGCTTGAATTACCACAGAATGATCTAGTTTCTTCAAAAAATAAATTGCAAGGGAAGAGGAGAAAGAAAGGGGGTATGCACAGATTTGAAATAGATATATCCACCAATCGTAATATGCAGGTCCCATTTGGATCTGGTTCTCTCTGTAGAGGCATTGAAACGCACTGTGTGTGTGGGGGGGGGGTGTGTGTGTAAGTTTTACAATTTTTAAATGTGCAACAACTGTATTGAAACACTGTGAACCGTGGGCCCTCACCTCCACCCTCTTCCCCTATTTCCCACTCCCAATCAGCACACAGTCCAAGAAGAAACTGTGTGTATGCTATAAAAACACACTCCCCTTCATCAAAATTGCCTCCTAATCCCTCCTGTGTGCAAACTCTGGAGCTGCGGCCATTCACCGGGGAAATTCACAGCGTTTTCAGGACTTACAGTCACTGCCAGGAATCTCCCTGTCTTTGCTCATGCCCTGCTCCCAGCCTGGAATGCCTTCACTCCTACCTGTTTGAATCATCTCAGCTCAAGTCTGTTTCTTCCAGAAGCCACCTCTGAGCACTCAGCATCAGCCGTCTCTCCTTCCAGCTCCTCAGTCCTCACCTTCCATTCTAGCACCTATGAAAAGAAAATAAATCTCAGGACCCCAATATCACTAAGCCAAGGGAAAAGTCAAGTTGAAAATTATGTCAGGCAAACTTGCCTCCTATTTTATTCATAAATAAGATAGCTACAGAGATAAGAAGTTACATACCTCCCTCACAATTTGCCCACAAGGAAATTCCTTGTGGACAAAGGACAAAGAGAACTCAAAGTCATCCCTCTGAGGCTCACCTGAGACAAATGCATATCTGAGTGCTTCCTCTGCCCTACTGTTTACGTAAAAACGAGACTCGCTGAGCCAGACTAAATTGTGTTTTCTGTGGAAGGCTGATCAAGGCCTCAGAAGAATATAACCTTTTGTTTCTTATCTACTTGTGACCTGGAACCCGTCCCTCCACGCCCCCTCTCCGCCTCAAGTCGTCTAGCCTTACCAGACTGAATCAAGGTATATCTTACACATATTGGTTGATGTCTTGTGTCTCCCTAAAATGTATAAAAGCAAGCTGTACCCTGACCACCTTAGGCGCATGTCATCAGGACCTCCTGAAGCTGTGTCATGAGCACCTCCTTAATCTTGGCAAAATAAACTTTCTAAATTGATTGAGATCTGTCTCAGATACCGTTTAGTTTACCCTGAGATTTGCTGCCTTCTGATCTTCTCTTCCAGTCTTCCGAGAAATTTTGGTCTCCCAGAGGCACAGGGCCCAGAGCTCCTCCTCTCACTAACTCAGCAATCCATCTAATAGCCGTACACGGGAGGATTTCTGTAACTATCATTGAGTACTGGCAGGTGAGGCCATTTAACACTGTTTTTTCTCTTTCGCATCACTGAGACATTTGGACTTGAAAGCCTCTAGATCCAGACAGAATAGCTGAGCCTTTTTACACAGAGATAGAGGGAGAATCAAGTCTCTACAGGGGCCAACAGGTGGCAAAGGGGCATACGAGCTTGACGCCTCTCCCCCATGCCCTTCATTTGTTCGTGGGCATTCCTGGAAGCTGGTTAGGAACAGACTACTGAATGTCATTTCCCCGAGGAAAAACATTAGCATTAGGGTGGGTTCCTGAGCTAAACCAGGAACCAAAGACAAGAAATCCATGACCAATAATGAGTTAGAGAGAAGCAGACAAAACAACCATAGGCGCATAAATAACAGAAATGACACTCCACCGTGGAGTCTCAAACTCACAGTGATGATGGGAAAAGCCACTGAGGAGTGGGTGAGACTAACAGTAGTCCTGTAAGAAGGGGACTGTCCATAATGTGGGAGCTCTGGGAGTAGGAGAAGTGGCTGGAGAGAGGGAAGTTTAAGACAAACACGAGGAAAGCCAGCTTCCCACAGATAGGAAAAACCTGGTAGCTGGTGAAGGGGCTTTGGTGTGAAGCAGGCCTAAAACGTCCCATCCCCACCACTCACTAGCTGTGTGACTTCAGGGAAGCAGCTTCTCTTCCATGAATTCCAGGTTCCTCATTGGTTGAAAGTAGGTAATAATGCCTAGCAGGAAGCTGTGAGGATTTGATGACTGGCATCTCAAATTTAACATGACCAAAGTAGCCCTAAACCCGTGGTTTCCATTGTCTTTTCATCTTAGCTAATAGCATCTTCATTCTTTCACTCATTCAGGCCCAAACCCTTGGAATTATTCAATCCTGTGGGCTCTCTTCTAAATCCATCCACACTGTAACCACTTTTCTCATCATCTCCATCACTCTGCACTGGCCCAAGCACCAAGCCTTCTCACCTGGATCACTACAATGGCCCCCCTACCAGGTGTACCCACTTCCACCATTAACTGCTGCAGTGTGAATCCCTGTAGCAGCCCATAATCCCATCAACCACGCCTCCCTGCTCACTCCCCCTCCCGCATTTCCACCTCAGAGTAAAACTCAAAGCCCGACCCTTGATCTACACAGCATGCGGCCAATGCTAGCCTGGACATGATTTGCTTCCACTTTCTCTCCTGCCAGCCTTGTTGCTCTTCCTAGATCACGTCTGCTGCTCTCCTAAACTAGAGCTGAAAATCAGCTGGAGAACATTGCGATGAAAAGGTCCAAGGGATTTGGGTGTGGCACAAAACATGTCTGCTACCCTCAGGGAACAGAGGAAGAAAATCCAGGTGCATGGCCCTGCCAGAGCTGGACAGTTTTGAGCACCCTTCCTGCCCTTTCTCAACCTATCTAACATAAGAGCCCACCTGAGGAACTTCCCAGGAAGCCCCCGTGACCTCTTCAGTCCTCCCAAAGCCATGGCCCTATCTTCTACCCAGGAAAACCTTCACTGTTCTGTCATATGGAGTTCAAATAAGCCAGTAATTCCCAATCCCTTTGTATTTTGTGGCCCCATCCATTCTATCCTCCAGACTTCTGCTAAAGTGAGTTTTCCAACTTACTTTGGAATTTTTTGACTCACTTTCCAGCTCAATTAAGATATTTTTTCCAAGTAGCTGCTAAATATATTTTAAATTATCTTTTTAAGTAGATTCATTTATCCTCTCTCTTTTTTTTTTGTACCTACTGTATGCCAAATACCTGCTAGCCACCTTGGAGCAAGACATGCTTCAAAGCGAAGAAGAGAAGCTGTGTGAACATGAGAAAATTACTGAAGTTTTCTCTGCCTTAGTTGTCTTATCGCTAAGATAGTCATATCTCCCCCAAGGATCTGATCCACCACAGTCCTTAGTGGAATAGGTGGCAGAATTAATTAATTTAATATGCATAAAGTCTTTGCGGATAGGGTGGTCATTCCTTCTGAGCACATGGTAGGTACTCAGCAAAATTATGCTGGTTGTTTGATTTAATTCTACAGTTAGTATTTAGTATTATGTGCTGCTTGGCACCTTAGTTAAACCTGTGGAGGACATACAGATAACTTAGACTCTGTCTCACCTTCAAAATACTGACAGTTTAGTGGAGAAGACAGAAGCACAGGCAAGTCTCTACAATGTCTGTTAGAATGGGCTTTAATCAAGGGATAAACCAGCACGACTGGTGCTCAGGGAAGGAATCACTTTGCCTGCAGAGGTCAGCTGGGCTTCCTCAAGGAATATGACATTTGAGCTAGGGCTGGAAAAGCGAACCCACTTGCCTCTCACTCTCTCCCAAGTGAAAAGTATGGACAAAGGCAGCGCAGTGTGGCCCAGCGTGGCAGGCGTGGGGAGCCGTGAACAGAATGGTGGTGGGCAGAGAGTGAGGAGGAACAGAGTAGGGCTGAGACTTCACTCTGGATCACAGAGGGCCTGGGGGCAGGCTAAGGAATTTGCATTAGTTTAAAGGTATTGGAGCCCCTGGAGAGGTTCATGCTGGAGCCATTCCCAAGGAAAGGTAGTGTTATATGATAGTTAAGACCACAAACTCTGGCACAGGACACGTTTGCATTCAAATCTTAGTTCTTGCCGCCTACAAGCTGTTTGAACATGGAAGAGTTACTCTGGACCTTAGTTATTTCATCTATAAAATGGGTATAATAATAGTACTTACCTCAAAGGCTTAAACTATGAGGATTAAGTAAGTTAATTCTTATAAAGCATTTAGAACTGTGCCTGGCCCATAGTAAGCACTCAAATGTTAACATTAGCGTCAGCATTATCACTCCTTTAATTACCTGAATTTTCTCCTTGACTGCCCATCCATGATGGTAGAAAACCTGTTCATCTTGCTTGTCCTATGATCCCAGTACCTAGAAAAGGACCTAGCATATAGTAGGTGTTCAATTAATGTTCACTGAATGAAACAAATGGCAGACTGGATGGGCTGGTCCTCTTGAGGCATGGGCTTCTCAAGCCTCTGGAGACCCCAAAGGCAGGCAATGACCTGCTTTCCTTCCTGGATGCTAGGAAGCGGGTTCAGCTTGGGGCCCGCTCAAGGGTCCAGGGTCACCCACTCATCCTCCACAGACTTTCTCAGCTGCAGACTTACCTTCATCAGGATCTGCCTACCCCAGGACACAGCCACACAGCCTTAACCTGCGCCGTCGAAGTCTGCCCCTCATCACTTCGATGGGCCGTCCTGTTGCCGCCTCTCCTCAGCCAGGGGTCAAGAAACAGGCCGTTCCTAGGGAACTTCTGCTCTCCATCCTCTGGTATTGAAAGCACCTAATGATTCTCAGTCCCTTGCAGTCAGGTCCCCTCCAGACCCTCCTCCCTGCCTCTGCCCATGTGAGCCTTCCACATTCAGATCTTCTCAGGTCGCTTCTGTGCTTAAAACCCAGCCCTGCTGTCTCTTGTCCTCCAGATGAAGTCAAAACGGTTTAACACAGCTGCTTACCAAACCCTACACCGTCAGCCCCAGACCATGCTCTCAACCTTACCCTCCAGCTGCATCATTGCCCTGAGACCCTTCTCACTTTGCCCATCAACATTCAGATCCCCAAATGCTTTGGTCTTTATGTCTGCCTAGAGCTCCCTTCTCCCTCTGTGCCCCGAGAAAATGCCTCTGCATCCCATAAGACCTACTTCAATTACAGTTTACTCCATCCCTCCCCAGGCACCCTGTTATGGCTTAATAAAGTTGTTTTGTAGCCGCTTACAATTATGTTTCTATTTCTATCTCAACCACGGGACTGAGAGACTTTGAAGGGAAGGCTGCAGCTGTCTGGTTTAGGTTGGTTGGTTTGTTTTTTTATTTCTTAGTGCCCAGTTCAGATTATGGGACACAATATTCACTCAGGAAGTGTTTGCTGGTTGGTTGGTTGATCCATTGGCAGAATGTATGAATGAATAAATAACAAGCTCTCTGTACCCCTGTGATCCTGGCATGTAGTAGGGGTGCAGCGAATGTTTCTTGTGTGAATTCATAGATAAGGTGCCCTTCCACTGGCCTTCTATGTTGGATTTTTGATCAGCACAAGCGCCACCTAATACACATACACATAAACACACACACGCACGCACACACACACACACACACACACACACACACACACACACAGAGCTCTTCCAAGCCCCTCCTTTCACTTTTTCTAAAAGAACCACTTGGTAAGCAATGACTTATTTAACTATAATCTAATAGAATTTAT